CTTGAGGAAAAACAGATTACACAAAATTTTAACATATTGTAAAATTCAAGGTATTTGTCAACTTGAAATGCTATGGGTTTTTTTAATACTGCTTTCTCTTTTTCTGTATCTGCCCCTTCAGATACAGGCTGCATTAAAAGAAGAGAAATAAATCTGCAACCCCCAGATGAGAGAGCTCAGCCAAGGTCTGATTCCCAGAGAAAAGATTTTAATGTTTCCAAGGCACAAATGGTGTTCCCTTCTAAAAACAGAGGAGTGATTTAGAGCCAGTGGAGCAGAAGTGGAAAAGACTGTGGGACAGGCAGGGAAGGATGAAGTCTGTGGAAAAGGAGAATGCCTCAAACAACACTGTTATGGCAAGTGGTCGTATGACGTTAAAATACCAGGAAAATGAATGCTACAGTGCCTAAGTTAGTTAGCACAGGTGCTGTTCTGATTAAAGCAAAAAGCAGAAGAGCAGTAAAACTTCGGCTAGCTCAGAAAGTCTTCTGGCTCACAGAAAGGTTTCCATCACATTTTCAGCAGAGCATATCTGTCAAACCCCTATCGCGAGACGTATTAAAAGACAGGACAACATTCTTACAGCAGAGACCCCCTCTGTGACAAGGGAGGACCCAACATTTGTTTTTCCTCTGAATTTGCCTTTATCCCCTCTCCAGGGAACATGCTTTAATTTCCAAGGAAACCCCTCCAGTTCTGATATCATCATCTCATTGAAGTAAACACTAATTGCTGACGAGAGTTAATACTGTGCTCTATACTGACTTTGGCAAAAACACATCCTAGCTCATGACAGCAAGAGCATGACAGGTTTTGGATGGTTTTTTATGTAGCAGAGCTCCTCTTCTTTGCTCAAGTACATAAGTATATCCCACGAGCATCACCTGTCTTCACAGTTCAAGCAGCTCGTGTTAAGAAGAGCATGCTTTTCTCATTTTATCATATCCCCCAGATCCACATTTTCTATACAGCTTCAGATGACATGACTCTGGGGCACACTGTTATCATAATCACATTAAGTACACTGGAATTGTATGATGCATAAAATCTCACAGTCTGGCAGCACTGAAATCAGAGCCTGATGAACAGTCAGCTTGGCCAAAATTACAAGACATACAAATAAAACAGACCCCAAGACTAAAAAGCAAAGCAATGAAGTATGAGGACTCTCAGAAGTAGAATTTAACTCAAGACAGGGATAAAAACTTTCTGCTCCAGATTCATCCATCCCCTCATGCTCAAATTAATATAGTTCATTTTCCAATAAAATTACCCAATTTGCCAAATATCTCACAAAAATTGCCCTAGAAGGCTTAAAGTCTTTGTTGACAGTCCCAAATCTTCGTTCTTTCTGATTGAAGGTCTCTGACATTAAATTTAAAAATCTGTTTTCGAGAAGTTTTTTGCCTGTAATTTATAGACAGAAATAAGTGTCATAGCATTCATTAGTACAGGTTTTATCTTGAAGTCTCAGTGGATGTTGGATCATTCTTTCCTCAAGCTGAGGAATGGAAAAGGATAGCCATCAGGAGACTTTCCCACACACTTACAGGAGCACATCTATTAGGAGTGTGGACGGAACCTCTCAGTCTTACTACTGAAATTCAATTAGATCTGAGATTGGCCACAAAAAAGAATGCAACACCCAGTAACATGGTCAAGGGCTAAACCTCTCCAGTATGGGCGGTGCACTGGAGCACTCACTGCCTGGAACACCAAATAGGTACACTTCTGAACTTTTTTTGTCTACTCCAGTACCATTGCAAATACTTCTTAGAGGAATAAACCAATGAACATGGCTGAGTTCTCAATAAAAGAGATCTCCAATGGCAATTCACTACATATACATATAAGCCAAAGGCATTGCATTCTTTCATGTTTAATTACTCATTATTCCAGACTAAATGTAACCATACAGAAAGCTAGCCACATTTTTAAATGAAATGAATGCCAAAAAAACCAAAAAACACTAAAAAAACAATGTAAGTGCAATTCCACTAAAATCTGACTTCACACATTAGGTCAACAGCCTGAAAAGACTTTGTACTTTTTTTGTCCTAGTGGCACAATTTCCCACCAAGCACAGGTAAAGACTAAGGCAAACAATATTTTGAGTCACAGTAACCACCTTACCAAGAAATCTAACTGAATTTGGTCCAAAAAATCTGTTCAGATGGGGAGGAAAGGAGCAAGGCTGAAAAGAAACTCTTTAACATTACTCTTCCAATACAGCCACAGACAACCAATACAACCACAACTCCAGCACAGACTTGAACGTTTTAAAGTATAATCTAACAGAACTGTGTAACTGATACACCAAACTGCAGAGAGGTATGATCCATCCCATAACAAAACTAAGTTTTTAAACAAGTAATTACATTCAAAATACGCTTATTGTAATGTACGCTTATTTTAGTACCTGGCACAAGGCAGTCAGTACCTGGTAGTAAATAATGTTGCATCAAATGTCTGCTACTACACTGAAGACTGGATTTCACACCTCATTATGGAGGCTTATTGACGGGTTTTGAAAGTTCAGTAGCAGAAAGTGAGGCTGAACCAGTGGCTGAACCTTGTGTATCACTGAAAAATTCCCCCTTCATTTCCATGGGTATTCAATCAAGCTGAGGAGTGACAAAGACCACAGGTGTTTACTGTGTGATTTTCTCCTGACATCAATCCTGGTTTTATCTCACTGTTTCCATCTACTATGCCTAGTTTCTCTTTATATAAACCGTAACAGCATCAAAGCATATGTCCCAGTGTCTTGCTGGTCTGGGGCCAGAAGGTAGAGCATTTTGAGGGACTGAAACCCAAAATGATCATGATAAAAACCACATGATTGAGATAAAAAAATATGGACAACTAACTGCACTCATCTGGGTTTAAGGAGTTTCTTCTTTGTAATTACTTTCCTCACAGTTTTCACCACCAATGTTACAACAAACATATGAAGAGTAATAAAGCATAAAGTAAGAACACCAACTGTCTTATAGCATTGAAAATGCAGTTGTGTTCTGAGCTAGGTCTAGTTTTCAATTAAAAAAATAATAAAAAAATAACCTTAAGTGACAAACAATTAAAATAAATGAAATAATTTAAATTAAAAAATAAATAACTTTTTGGAATTCCAGCTTGTACTTCACATGATTTTGTTATATTCTGTTGCTTAAGACTCCTCAAACAATTTCAATATATTCATTACTCACATAAGTGGTCCTAATGATTTTAGTGGGGCTACTCACACGAAAAAAACCCTTACACGTATGTTTCAACAAAAAAGGTGCGGCCTGCCAATGGAAATAAGCTGAGCTGTAACACAGACCTGCTTCTTGCACTTCAGGAGAGGAAGGAGAAATAACAAGAAAACAAAGGGCACACTGTTCTTCAGCTAATGTTGGCACACACCTAATCAATACAGCCAACTATGAAGGATGTTCAAAGGTATTTATAAAGCTGAACATGAATAGGAAACATTTACATCAAATTACGGCCAACTTGATAGTATTTAACTATCAAAATTTAGTTAATTGCAGTTTTCTCGTAAAAGAATCGTAACATAAATTACATTAAATGAGTCATAATGAATTTAGCATAAGTACAGGATGCATCTGCACAGTGGAGCCAACGAAACCTATTACCTTTCTCTCCTACTATCCTTTTAGACAATCACCTAGACTATACTCAAACTGTTGCTGCAACACATGGTAACCAAGATACTGACACAGACTATTACCAAAATTAAATTGATGCTTCCACAAGTTACCACTGTTCATGAGTCACATTTTTTTTCACCTCCCATTGAGTTTCTGTCCGACTTTAGGTTAAGTTATTAACTGTTTCTGCAAACTTTCAAACAGCCTTTTGTTCTTGTTCTCTTTCTGTAGAAATCGAGTGTGTAGAAAGGAGGGCATTATGAACAAGTTAAGACAGACTTGCGTAAGTCACTGATCTGTCTGAAATGGGGGCAGTCCAATAAATCTAACCAGGGTTAGTCCAAAAAGAAAACTATTTACTCCAGTTGTGCACATGAGTAGCAGGTTCTGTAACTGAAAATTTCTCTGAAGAAACCTTTTATCTCATAATCCAAGCACATGGATTGGATGTGTCTAGAACTAAATTATTAGGATAAGTAAGAATTTAAGGAGCAATATCTATATATAGATATATTCATATACATGCGGTTTTTTAACTAGCTGCCAAGTCCTTAAAAGCAGATTGTTTTCCATCACAAATTACAATTTTAAAATTAAGCAGAATCACTCTGTACATTTCATGGCCAACATTTTCACATTCATTTTGAGCACCTCAGGTTTCAGGTAGATTACTGCAAGTCACCAAAATGTGCCTCTGTAGATAGGAACCAGCCTGGTACTGACATACCCGTGGTAACCGTGTTTAATCTCAAACCAAGTTACCATCAATTATCTTTATTTCCCTGACACCTAGGGCAAAGGCTTTCACGAACTTCAGTGAGCTCCTCAGACCGAGAGCCGTATTTATCAACACCGTTAACCCCGAGGAAAAACTGTTATTGGCCAGCAATTACCAGGAAAAGGCTGAGAGGGCTGCAAGAAAGGTGCTGGGGCTGGTCGGGGAATAGCGCGGGGAGAATGTTCCTGCGGAGCCGGGAGAACTTTGCATCCCGTACGTTCCACCGGCCTGAGTTTCCCACGTGGGCAGCTGGCAGCTCAGCGGAGAGTAAGCAAGCGAGCAGATGCATGCTGGAAAAACAGCGCTGGAAACCACCCAGGCCGGGAAGCAGATGTGAGGAGGGCTCTACACACCTGCAGGCGCAGGGGCGCAGGGGCCACGCTACAGGGCCATTTCCCAGCTGGGATTGCATCAGCACCGGACGGCAGGCTCCGCCAAGAGGCCCGCTTCTGCCCCGTGGGGCCGCTGTGTCGCCGCCAGCCTCAGCCCCGCCAGCCGCGGGAACGCGGACCCGCGCCCCCCGCCGGGATCGGAGGTGGCACGGATCGGGCGGGCCTGGACCTTACCTGGGGATGTACCTCGCCTCGTCCCCGAGCCGCACCTCGAAGTCCTTCCAGGGCTGTTCCAGCCCCGCGGCGACCCACGCGGCCGTCTCCTCCCCCTCGCCCTCCTCGCCCGCAGGCTCGCCGCCGCCGGGCTGCCGCCGCGTGGCGCCGCGGAAGCCACGGGCGAACTCCGGGAAGGTGATGGCCCCATCGCGGTCGCTGTCGAGGCGCTGGAAGATGGCCTCGGCCTCGGCCGGCCGCACCCGCAGCTCGGCGCACAGTGCCGCGAAGTCCTCCCGCTCGATGCGGCCCGAGCCGTTGGCGTCGCACGCCAGGAACAGCGAGCGCAAGCGGGACAGTTCGTCCCCCGCCGCCTCGGGATCCATCGGCCGGCGCCGGGGGCGCGGATCCTCTGACCGCGACCGGCACTGGACAGGTCGGGACGGGCGGAGGCGGAGACCCGACCTGCGGCCCAGTGGGGCGGGACAGGTCCTGCTCCGCCCCGGCGCCCCGCGGGGCCGGGCGCGGCCAGGAGGCGGGAAGCGGAACGCAGGTGGCGGCTCTTGGCCGGGACGGTGCCTGGCAGTGCCGGAGAAGCCCGCGGAACGCCGTCCGGGACAAAGCAGGGCCATCCCGACCCGGCAGCCGGGAGATGCCGATCCCACTTTCCCACTTTCCCTTGCACAGGTGACTGTTTACGGCATCGCGGGCTAAAACACACGTCTCACCCCTCTGCAGCAAATATGAGTCCCGATACTCTGCGGTCACCATAGAGTGTTAAATCTTTCTTCTGTTTTCACACAGAATAAAAACACTCCTGATGTTCTTAAAGACCAAGAACCCAGGATGACACAAAGTTTCAACAGATAAATTTTTGCTGACCACGAATAGTCATGGAGTTAAACGGTGCAAGTACGTGCTCACCGATATCCCACCACCAGTAATTTAGAAATGTGCATTGTTAAAATACCAGCTTAAACTGAACATGCAAAAGCTGCATTCAAGTCAATAAACCAAAGGAGCTAGATTTGCAGTGCTCTGTGAAGAACTACCATCTGTCTTCCTTGACAGAAGTCAAGGTGCCTCTCTTGATGAAGTCAGACTCAAAATTCAGACTCTATTTGAAGCAGTTAAATTTTAACAGAATTTTTGAAACTATTATTTCCCTACACTTATTCTTGTTTACATCTATCCACAAATGTAAATTGTGCATACCAAAGTTGTGATAAACAGAATAGAAATCCTACTGTCAAAACATTTTCTTATTGACCAAAACAAAGCCTAGGCTAAATATGTGCGATCCAGCAAAGCACAAATAGTCCAGACCTCTCCTTAGAATAAATCACGTACTGTAAATGGGAAGTATAAATACTTCTCTGCCTAAGAGATGTGGAATGCCCTCAAAGGAAATTATAATTTTTTTTAAAGCTTTTGATTACTTTCTTGTCAAATTTAAGCAGACAGACAACAGTCTATCTCTAGACAATAAAAAGTTTTGTGAAATGTTCCCTGCGCTTTAGGGAAATACAGTTGTTAAATAATTTGAAATATAAATTTTAACTTAAAAATGTCAGATAATTGAAGGACTTAAATTTATGATTTTATCCATTTTTGTCATTATATTTCCACCACTAAACTTCAGAACTACTAAAAGTAGTAAAGTGGTATGATCATCAGTTTCCTAGTGTTTTTGTAAAACAAAATTAATTTAACAAAAGTATTCTTCCTATTCCATGGTCTCTCATCTGCCCATCAAATTTTTATACCCAAAGTGTATCACGAAGCCCTTATGGGGTTGATGAAGGGTTGTTCAGCTATCCAAAGAGACAAATTTATCTCATTTATACAGTCCAGCTCTCTGTCCATAGAAGCAGGGACGTTTGGTTGTCAGAGTGAACAAGCTCATGAGCTGAACTGCAACAGCCTCATCCTGGGCTGAATTGTGTCTGACTACACAGACAGGGAGTTCCCACTCCAATCAATGTGCTCACCTTCTTGTTTGCTTTTGAGGCAGGTTTATGAATTGACATTTCTCAGTAATCCTTATCCTATCCACTCTTTTACACACTCTCTTGTGTGTATCTCTTGTGGTAGTGACCACCTTGGGCTGCTACAGTAGAGGGTATAGACTTTAGACATGTAGTCTCTGTTGGGATTTTTTATTCTTCTTTTTTTTTTTTTTTTTTCTCGGATAGTTAACATCATCTTTTCCCAAGCTTTTCTATGTAACACTGTCCTGGATACGACTTAGGATTTGACCATTCTACTGCGAAGGTCTGAATTTTTGTTTTCGTTAAAGGCTTTATGTTTCTACCTATATGATGCAAAGTAAATAGTAAGTAACACTGAAAACAAATAGAAATCTTCACATTAACATTCCATTTTTAATCAAGCCATATGAAAGTCTTGCAATAAAATTTGCCAGTACAATGCCTACATGCTTTGTGCTTTAAGGTGCAGGTAGTTCCTTGTGTATTCAGTGGATTTCATTGTCTTTGACATCTCCCTTATTTCCGCTGTTAGAGAAGTTTTGTCACACAAATCTCAGGCACTGGCATGAAGTACAGTGTCTCCTTTAGCATTGTCATGGCATACATATATTCTGCTAAATAGATGATGCCTGCAGTGTTGCACAATACCACTAACCAGTGCTTGTTTGGCAGGCCATGGTTTAGTTGAATAGTCCTAACACAACAGCACAGAGATAACAAATAAAAGATGTTTATTTGATGAGACATGAGAATGAGTGGTGAGACCAGGATTCCCAGCAGGCAATGACAAAACAGTGCTTTGTTCTGAAATCATGTACCTATTCTTAGAAGGATCTGCCCCTTCAAAACCAGCTCTAAATTAAATAAATATGTAAATACACTGTTTCTGTGGTATAGCAGTTTTATATTCATAAGGGAAGTTTCAAATTCATGCATAAGATACCAAGGTTACAGATACAGATATACCCAGCATGCAATTTTCAGTCTATCATCTATTTCACTTCACTATGCCATGAAACACACAAGGTAGCCCAAGCATCTATTTGGTTGAAGAGGCAGAAGAGAACATTAAATCATGCTGAGGAACTTCAGAGAGGCCTAAGGCAACAGATGAACAAGAAAGGATTCATTGTATCACTACTAAAGTGTCCTCTGTTATAGAAACAGAGGTTAATCGGAGCAGATTAGAAGAGACAGGTAAGCCAGAAAATGGAGATGTGGCAGCACATGATATCAAGACCCAGCATTGTCCCAGGAAGCAAAAGAGCAGAGGAGCTGAGCTGACTGGGGGGATAAACTACTGAACCTTTAAATTCTATTTGAATATATGTGATCTCTGAAAGTAACTATGCAGAACTGTGGAGAAGCCCAGAAAAGCTGGAGTGCTGTGCTCCAGGCAGATCCTATGCCTGATATAGCAGGCCTTTTCCCATCCCTCTCTATGTATTGTTTTACGAATCCTACATACATACTAAAGGAAGATTTTTACCTTTGACATCAAGCATTTATAAGGTAGGAATTAGAACATAAATTGGAACAATTATTGCTTCTCATTCATCATTATTGTACATGGCCTTGGGCATTATTTACAATGTCATGCATGCTATTCAGATTTTACACTGAAGACTGAATATACCTAGTGTATAGTACCTGCAACTTCTCAACTAGTGATGGTTAAGAAAGTGAATGGATCCCTCTGTGCTTGCAATTACTTTCTTATTCATCTTCTTCTGTTTTGCCTTTGGATAGTTTAAGCAACTTAGCATAAACTGCGTGATTTACTTGGAGAGTAGACAAGAAGTAAAACAGAATCATCTAGTAATAGATGAAAGAACCATCTCACTGAAAAGAGTTAATATTACACACAGATATCATACTTGCCACAACACCATGAAAACTAATTAATTAAAACTGCTCCAATTTCTCCCCCAACCAATACAAACTTTACTTCCTCTGCAAGCCACCATAATATGTCAAAGCACCAGAATCCTGGTGTGGCACTCTATCTCTTCCTTCTGTACCTATACCTGTTCATGACCTCTTCATCTCCCTTCTAATAGGAAGGGATGCACATTGTGTGCAGGCAGATGAAGGGCAAGGTGAGAGGGTGATGTGCACAGTGGAGTGGCTCTGGGAGGTCTCCTGCAGATGAGCCGTGGTAGTTGTTTTTCCTCCCCACTGCTTGCCTTCTCTGCTTTTCTCATACTATATCTTCATTTGCACTTTCTATTAACTTGGTGGCATTTTCTTTGCTTCAATGCATCAAACTGTGCTTTGATGGCATTAAACAAGCCATTTATTTAGTTATATCCAGGCATGTACCTTGTGTGAAGCTCATAGGATAGGTGCACATATTAAATGCCAAGTTGAGGCAGATTACAAAACATAGCTACATACTCTCATTCACTACTGAATATTTTAGTACTACTGAATATTATTAACCCTTATTCTCTTCAATTAAAAACTAAGGATAATGTATCTGGTAACAGACATCATGTAGACTTTGTTTCTCAGATAGACTGCACCATTATGACCTCTTAAAGGGAAAAGGCATAACCTATGCCTTTATAAACTTAGTCCAAGGCAAAGAAATTAAGACATTTGCATGATATTGCACAATGAGCATAATATCCACAATTTTATGCTTTGACCTTATTAAAAAAATGAGACAGAAAATGACAATAAAAGTTCTTTGTCAAAGCAGAGGTACATTTAAAAACCAAAAATGTCTCTCAGGATACACAGATTTTTTTTATTCAACTAAAAATTTGTCAGTTCAAACAGTGAGATAATGAAAGAGTTTCATGGATTTATTGATTACTTTAATAAACTTTGGACAATGACTGAAGTGGAAATTTTTCAGTTGAAGCGTATTCAGCCTTCAAAAGCGGTTGGAATTAATATTGGCATAGCAAAGTACTCATGGTGCTCTTGCAGAAATTTTTAGATATTAGCAGCAAATGAGGCATGACTATCTCACATTCTTTTTGAAAGCTTGCCTGTTATGATCAACTGAATAGACAGAGAGATGCTGAAAGGACCGATAATGACTGACGAGTACTCCAGCCCCAAAATAACAGAAAAAGACTGTTCTAAAGACATGTTGTTACGCTGCCAGTTCTCAAAATCTCAAAATCTTGCATGCATGGTTTTTGCTTTCCCTATTAATCTTTGGAGTAATATAAGCAGCTAGCAATAAATACTTATGAACTTCATCTTTTACAGGAAGCCTTCCTTGTTTTTGGAAGTCTACATGCTTTTTGCAATTCTAATAGTTAAAACCAAATGGCATCTACTGATGAAACTTCTTTGTTCATCAAAAGAAGTTAAAGAAATAGGAGTCTCAAAATGCAATTCCCTATGTGCAATTCAGTTAACAAAAAGCATTGCTGAAGACAGGATTTTCAGGATAGAGATTAACAATGTTAGATCAAACAGACATACCTCCTTCCACTTGGGATTAGCTTTGACCTTTTTCTGCAGAATGGTGCCAAAGCTCTTTCAAAAACACAGCAAGGTCCAGGTTTTCCTTGCAAACAGAATGGTCACTGTTTCTTCCTATTTCCCTGTCTTGCTCAAGGTGTTGGAACATTTCACCAGAAGCAGAAGAATCAAGTTTAAATCACTACCTTGCCTGAAGCAAATTAAAGCTACCTTTCTTTTTCCTCATTTGACTGTCCTAACTTCAAAGCTACTGGAGACAGTAATGGAACTGAGAAGCACACAATTGCTCAAAGCCACTGCTCCAAGAATCTGTGTTTTACAGTGCATTACAACTACACAACAAAAAAGTCTTTGGGGAAGATGCTAGATGC